TATACACACAGAAAATTGCAGTCTTTAACTTAAAAAAAAAAAAAAAAAAAATTTATTTTTCAAAATATTCGGTGCGCCATGCAGGTGAACGTAGATCTACATTTGGACAGTTTAAGGGTTAAATGAGCACTATTCATATTAATTTTTTTTAACACATCAGTGGTTTCCCACCAAGGCAGGGTGACCCAAAAAGAAAGAAAAAGAAAAAAAAAACTTTCATCATTCAACATCTTCACCATCATTCACACAATCACTGTCTTTGCAGAGGCACTTAAATCAGACAGTTTAGACGCCCCTCCAAATAGCCAATATCCCAACCCCCTCTAACTCTTTCACTGTTGGTGTCCTATTAGTACGGCTTACAAGCCAGTGTTGGTGCCATATTAATACCCCAAAATTCTAGCGGCTTCAAATCTAGCAGGAGAAAGTTGGTAGACCTACATCTGAAAGGATGGGTCTTCATGGTCAGTGTGCACAGTAAAAAAAAAAAAAATCCTGCAACACGCAGTGCATAATGAGAAAAAAAAACTGACGATGTTGGTGGTTTAAAATGCCGACTTTGAGGTGTATTTTTGAATGGTATTTATGGTTGTATTCTCATTTTTTTGGGTCTCATTTGATAAAATGGAAGATATTTACAGAAATCGAGATGATTTTGATTGGTTTCACTATGAAAAAATACCTCGAAATTGAGCAAAAAGTAGCGGAAATTTTCAATTTTTGCTGATGTTCAAGAGTAAACAAGTGACATCACTGTCCAGTATGTGTCCAACTGGCCAGTCTAATATGCAGTCACGAATGGGATGATATTATTTATACAATTATTACAATAATGCAGTAATCTGCATAACAGTAAATCGTCTATTTTTTCTGCGAATAAAAATTCAAAATGGAAAGCAAGAGTAATATAAGAGGGGCCTGGAGACTTGACTAATGAACAGAGAAAATGTTATTTTAGTGCCAGGAATGTTTGCATTGTTTATTTTGGACCCTATTTTGAAAGTGGCATCTTTGAAATTTGTGTGAAACTGTCCAAATTGCCAATTTCTGACCACTTTATTGGGTAGCTGAAATCAGTATATGGGCGATTTCTTGTACTCAATCGATAGAACAAATGGAGTTCTAGTGAAATGTTACGAGTTTGGTTGATGGGAACAATGGCCGAAAATGTTACTCAAAGTGGGCAAAATCGTCGCCAAGACCGCTAACTTCACGAGTGTGTAATTCCATAAGTTTTCCATCAAATTTTGTACTTTTGTTGTCATTACCATCGGAAAGAGATTCCCTATCACTTCATAAGAAAACACTTTTTTTTTTGTTGGAAAATTCTTTGACACAGAGCAAGTTTGTGATCAGGGGTCTCAACAGTGAAAGGGTTAAAGTGCAGGCATTGTACTTGTCACCTCCAGGACTCAAGTTTGGCTAACCGGTTACCAGTTTCCCTGAATCCCTTGACAAAATATTAAACTGCTCACATTCCAACAACTCATCAGGTCCCAAAAACCATTCATCTCCATTCACTCCAAACATGCTCACACATGCTTGCTGGAAGTTCAAGCCCCTCACCCAGAAAACTTCCTTTACCCCCTCCCTCCAACCTTCCTAGAATAATCCCTACTCCACCTTCCTTCCCCTACTGATTTATACGCTCTCTAAGTCATTCGACTTTGTTACATTCTCTCTAAATGACCAAACCATCTCAACAACTCATCTCCAGCCCTCTGATTAATATTTTTAGTAACTTCACACCTCCTCCTAATTTCCACTCTACGTATTGTCTGCATAATATTTACACCACACATTGCCCTTAGACACGGTATCTCCACTGCCTCCAGCCTCCCCTTTGCTGCAGCATTTACAACCCATGCTTCACACCCATATAAGAGTGTTGGTACCACTATATTCTTGTACATTCCCTTCTTCACCTCCATGGATAACATTTCTTGTCTCCAAAGATACCTCAAAGCACCACTCACCTTTTTTCCTTCATCAATTCATATTAACCCTTTGACTGTTTCAGGCCCCTCTCTGAAACTGTCATTCTATGTCGCCAAATATTCAAAAAAAAAAAATTATTTTTTCTTATGAAAATGTTAAGATTATTTTTCTGAGTGTTTTAGTCCAAAAAAAAATTTTTTGCCATCGGTACTTACCGAGATATAGAGCCGTGAAGTTTGCAGAAAATGAGCGGCGTATGGCAACAGCGGCGACTGCCGCTCACCCGGTAAACTTTAGTTTACTTGTATTGAATGGTTTGTTGTTTTTTTCACTATTTTATTTTTTCACATAACTTATGTGGCCTATGAGACCAAATAAGGTGCAATGTATATATATACACTCGTTGTATACAAACAATAACCACAAACTAATTATCATATATTGTTTACAAAACTTGTTTACAAAAACAAACAAACAACAAACAAACAATCATTCCCTTCTTCTTCCCCTTCTTCTCCTCCTCTTCTCCTCTTCTCCTCCTCTTCTTCTCCTCTCCTTCTCTCCTCACTTCTTCTCCTCCTCCTTCTTCTCCTCCTCCTTCTTCTCCTCCTCCTTCTTCTCTCCTCCTTTTCTCCTCCTTTCTTCTCCTCCTCCTTCTTCTCTCCTTCTTCTCCTCCTTCTTATCCTCCTTCTTCTCCTCTGCTTCTCGTCCTCTTCGCCTACGTCTCCTACTTCTTCTCTCCTCTTCTCCTCCTTCTTCTCCTCCTTCTTCTCCTCCTTCTTCTCCTCTTCTTCTCCTCCTTCTTTCTCCTCCTTCTTCTCCTCCTCCCTCCTTCTTCTCCTCCTTTTCCTCCTTTTCTCACTCTTTCCTCACTCTTCTCTCCTCCTTCTCCTCCTCTCCTCCTCCTCCTTCCCCCCTTCTTCTCCTCCTCTTCTCTCTTCTTCTCCTCCTCCTTCTCCTCCTTCTTCTCCTCCTTCTTCTCCTCCTTCTTCTCCTCCTTCTTCTCCTCCTTCTTCTCCTCCTCCTTCTCCTCCTTCTTCTCCTCCTCCTTTTCTCCTCCTTCTTCTCCTCCTTCTTCTCCTCCTTCTTCTCCTCCTTCTTCTCCTCCTTCTCCTCCTCTTCTCCTTCTTCTCTCCTCCTTCTTCTCCTCTTCTTCTCTCTCTCTCCTTCTTTTCTCCTTCTTCTTCTCCTTCTCTTCTCCTTCTCTTCTCCTTCTTCTCCTCCTTCTTCTCCCCTCCTTCTCTCCTTCTTCCCTCCTTCTCTCTCCTCTTCTTCTTCCTCCTTCTTCTTCTCCTCCTTCTTCTTCCTCCTCCTTCTTCTCCTCCTCCTTCTCCTCCTCCTTCTCCTCCTCCTCCTCCTTCTCTCCTCCTCCTTCTCCTCCTCCTTCTCCTCCTTCTCCTACTTCTCCTCCTCCTCCTCCTCCTTCTCCTCCTTCTCCTCCTCCTCCTTGTGTGCGAGTGTGTGGCTTATAATTGTTTTGAGTCAGAAGTCGGCAGCTGTCAAAGTGACATATGTCTCATTAGTCACTACCCCTACCCCTGTCAAAACAATGGGTCGGATGCTGCTTCCCCTCCTCCATTCTATCTAATTATCTTTCTCCCTCATTCTATATCTTTCAATCTGTCTCTCTTTCTGTCTGCCTATCTCTGTCTCACAGGTACACATAAATACAAGTATACATAGTGTAAATTACCTAGGATAACCCAAGAAATCCAGACAAAGTGCTATACTCTGCTTGAAGATGTGAGTAAACGTGATGACACAGTCTTGTGGCTCTCTCTGAGACAGAGAGCTAGATGGACAGACAGGGAGCTTGACAGACAGACAAATAGACAGAAATGTTTGTGTACCAGCAAAAACAAAGGGAGGCGATGGTCATGTAATATTACCCTCCTTTACGCTCATCAAAGTCAGCTCTTATCAGATGTTATCTCCCCTTATCTTGTCACTGTCATGGGGTGGACTTTTTTTTTTTCTTGCTTCAAGGGAACAATATTATTACATCTTCTTCTTCCTCCTCCTCCTCCTCTTCTCCTCCTCCTCCTCCTCCTCCTCCTCCTCCTCCTCCTCCTCTTCCTTCCCTCCTCCTCCTCCTCCTCCTCCTCTTCCTCCCCTCCTCCCCCTCCTCCTCCTCCATTGCTTTTGGTCTCAAACTCCTCCAAATCATGAAATTGATCTTCACTGACACTTCCATCTGTGTTAGAGCATCACTTGGGAAGAGAAGAGTCCCAGATTTGCTGGGGAATCACATATTTCTTACCACTAGACATGCTGAAAAATGACAACTGAAATGGCATTCCCACAATGCACCACTGGCTCCCCGATTTTTTTTATATGGTGCACACTGACCATGGAGACCCATTCTCTCACATGTGGGCCGCGAGACGCTAAATTATGCAGCTTATCTCCTGCTTGATTGAAGCTCGTAGAATTTATGCGTATGAAAACGTCGGATAAATTGGCTTCGTTAAGGACGTTTATTTGTATACGTTGAAAACAGCAAAGGGGTTAATTTTGTTAATATATAATGTAAACTCGTTTTTCTGCACAAGTTAATTCCTGTATGAAGTTTGAAAAAGGTGCATTATGCATAAAAACTTTTCTGTACAAAGATTTATACAAGGAAGCTGGTTGTCAACTCTAACTCATAACTATATATGCTATATTGGTGCTCATAACTGCAAAAGACAACTGCCTTTCAGTTATCTAGTGGAAAAAACAAAAAACACGACAACTGTGTACCGCTCAAAAGTCACTGGCCCAAACATTTCTTTATCAACAAGCAAAAGTACCAGGAATTTAAGGTAGGATAAAAGAAAATTACATGGTGAAATGAACGCATCACCCATAGCTGTCTGATGCACAATGGAGTTATAACAATCTCTAAACATTTCCCCATCAACAAGAAAAAAAAAAAAAAGGTAGGGTGAATTTTTATTTTTTTAGGGTATCTTATACCAGTAAGATTTTGTATGAAATTTATAAGTCACTGGTGGCTACAGTGCAAAATTACATAAAACATCGATCACAAGAATGTCACCCTTGCATGCACTGAGGTTCTACCGTAATAAACCAATCATGGTTGTAAAAATATAAAGGATGACAGTACATGATATATCACCTTAACAGGAGCAACCTTTGCTTGAACTTCTATTTCTGGACGCTGTTTATGCCAGGAGATGGTGAGGTTCCTGCAGATGGTGAGAGTGAGAGAGATGGGCTGCAACAATTCGTATTCTCGTTTCATTGTTCCTCTGGTTGTCAGTTCTACCCTGTTAATAGATGGAACATCCAGTACTTCACAATAGTATATAGCCATACATTTAATAGGATAAAAAAGCGATGCTTAATAGTCAATGCTTAAAAAAAAAAAAGTTCTTAACAAAGGGCAAGAATGCAAAAGATTATGCAACTTCAAAATATACTTAATGATAGATATTATTAACATTTTATTATAGATTTCTTTAAGTGCCCTACATCAAATTGCTATTTTATTACGAAGACTAAGAAAACTATAGCTAAAGTGAATGCCTTAACCCGTAAACGGTCCAAACGTATATATACGTTTTTACCGCTAGTGCCCCAAACATATATATACTTTTTTTTTGTCATACATTCAACATTGCCACGATAAGCCTGAGTCACCTAGACATGAGAGAATGGGTGTGCGCACTCCCTGTGTGCCATATTAAAATAATTGGGGATGCCTGGGTACCATATGCTCTTTTTTCCTATTAAAAAAAACTTTTTTTTTCTCAAAATAGTTGGGGCACTACATGAGAGAACGTATATATACGTTTGAACCGTTTACGGGTTAAATAACAAATGGTAATTAGATATACAGCAGTTTAACTGCATCAGGCCAATCAAGGGAGGTGGTCCTTAAGTCATCCTATCCAGTATATAATACAAGGAACTATCAAAAAGCTCCCGGACTACCACAAAGGATTTTTTTTTTAAACAGTATTCGTCTTCTCCCACCAAGGCAGGTGACCCAAAAGGAAAGAAAAAATCCCCAAAAAGAAAAATATTTTCATCATGATTCAACATTTTCACCTCACTCATACATAATCGCTGTCTTTGCAGAGGTGCTCAGATATGACAGTTTAGAAGTCCCTCCAAACTGCCAATATCCCAAATCCCTCCTTTAAAGTGCAGGCATTGTACATGCACTTCCCGTTTCCAGGACTCAAGTTCGGCTAACCGATTTCCCAAAATCCCTTCACTAAATATTACTCTGCTTACACTCCAACAGCTCGTCAGATCCCCAAAACAATTCGTCTCCATTCACTCCTAACTAACACGGGTTTGCTGGAAGCCCAAGCCCCTCGCCCGAAAACCTTTTCTACCCCCTCCCTCCAACCTTTTCGAGGATGACCCCTACCCCACCTTCCTTCCCCAACAGATTTATACACTCTCCAAGTCGTTCTACTTTGATCCATTCTCTCTGAATGACCAAACCACCTCAACAACCCCTCTTCAGCCCTCTAATATTTTATTAACTCCACACATCCTCCTAATTTCCACACTCCGAATTCCCTACATAATATTTGCACAAGACATAGCCCTTAGAAAGGACATCTCCACTGCCTCCAGCCACCTCCTCATTGGAGCATTTACAACCCAAGCTTCACACCTACATAGGAGTGTTGGTACCACTATACTTTCATACATTCCCTTCTTTGCCTCCATGGATAACATTTTTTGTCTCCACAGATACCTCAGCGCACCACTCGCCTTTTTTCCTTCATCAATTCTATGGCTAACCTCATCCTTCATAAGCCCATCCACTGACAAATCAACTCCCAAATATCTGAAAAAATTCACTTCTTTCATACTCCCTCTCTCCAATGTGATATCCAATTTTACTTTATCTAAATCGTTTGATACCATCACCACCTTACTCTTATCTATGTTCACTCTCAACTTTCTACTTTTCCATACCCTCCAAAACTCGTCCACTAACTTGTGCAACTGTTCTTTAGAATCTCCCATAAGCACAGTATCATCTGCAAAAATTAACTGTGTCAATTCCCATTTTGTATTTGATTCCCCATAATTTAATCCTACCCCTCTCCCGAACACCCTAGTATTTACTTCTTTTACAACCCCAGCTATAAATATATCAATCATGGTGACATTACACATCCCTGTCTAAAACCTACTTTTACAGGTAAGTAATCTCCCTCTCTCCTACACACCCTAACCTGAGCCTCACTATTCTTATAAAAACTCTTATAGCATTTAGTGAGTTACTATGTATTCCATACACTCGCAACATCTGCCACATTGCTCCCCTATCCACTCTGAATTTGAGGATTTGACCATTAAAGACCCAGAAATAGCTGAAATCATCAGGAGGCAAAGTCATAAAATCAACATGTTAACCCTTTCAGGATTGGTGCCGTACTAGTACGGCTTGTACGCCAGGGTTGGTGCTGTACTAGTATGCATAAATTCTAGCGCCTTCAAATCTAGCGAGAGAAAGCTGGTAGGCCTACATATGAAAGAATGGGTCTATGTAGTCAGTGTGTGCAATATAAAAAAATTCCTGCAGCACACAGTGCATAATAATAAAAAAACTGACCGTATTTTTGGTTTAAAACAGCGACTTTCCACTGTATTTTCGTATGCTATTTTTGGTTGTATTCTAGTTTTCTTGGTCTCATTTTATAGAATGGAAGACATATTACAGAAATTGAGATGATTTTGATTGATTTCACAATGACAAGTACCTTTAAACAGAGTTCAAATTAGCAGAAATATTCGATTTTTGCCAAAGTCCAAAAGTGAACAAATCATGCCATGTGTCCAATACACGTCAACTGATGAGTCTAATATTCTTTCACAAGTGCGCTGATATTATTTATACCATTTCTACACCATTTCTACACTAATGCTGTAGTCTGCATAACAGTAAATCTTTATTTTTTGTGAGAATAAAAATTCAAAATGGAAAGCAAAAGAAATATAATGGAGGCCTAGAGACGTGACTAGTGAACAGAGAAAATGTTATTTTAGTGGCAGGAATGTCTGTCTTGTTTATTCTGGACCCTATTTGGAAATTGGCATCTTTTGAAATTTATGTGAAATTGGCAAAATTGCTAATTTCTGACCACTTTATTGGATAGTTGAAATTGGTAAATGGGTGGTTTCTTGTACTCATTTGATAGAAAAAATGGAGTTCTAGCAAAATAGGTATGATTTTTATCGACTGGTACATTGGAATTGGCAAAAAATAGGGCTCAAAGTGGGCGAAATCGCCAATGCGTAGACATCGTCGAGACCGCTAACTTCACAAGAGCATAATTCCGTAAGTTTTCCATCAAATTTCATATTTTTTGTGTCATTATGACTGGGAAAAGATTCTCTATGATTTCATAAGGAAAAATAATTTTTTTTTTCGAAAAACTTCCGACCCTGAGAACAAGTTTAGGAGAGGGCCTGCCAACCCTGAAAGGGTTAACTCTGGATATGGAAAAGCTTAAAAAGTCCAACACACAGTACATGGACAAGATTACAACTCTAGAACATAAACTAAATGAACTGGAGCAACTCAGCAACACCCACACCCAGTCTGAGGAATTCATCAACCTCCTAAAAGATCAAGTTACTCAAGTGAACACCAACATCAAGAATAAAAGAGAAAGGAGTAGACATACAACTTACCGATGTTATGAACAACTTCCAAGACCACTTCAACCAACAACAAATGTCTCATTCAGTTGTAGTGAAAAGCAAACATCTTCTAGCAACTATAACCCAGGAAACAGGTAAACAAACCACTTTGAAACTTATCCTAGATCGTCTTTGACTCAGCATACCAAGTGATGACAAAGGAATGTAAAGTAATAGGTAATCAAACAGGAAAAAAATCAGTAATACTAAAATTCAACTGTAGCTCTCAAAGAAATAATCTGTTAAATATGTTTAGTATTGTGAAAAGTGAAGTGTATGTAAACCACTGCCTGACCAAACTACGGCAAAATCTCCTCTACAGACTAAGAAAATTACAACATGACCAGAAAATCCACCAGTTCTTTGCAAGGGATGATCAAATTGCTGCTAAGAAGGAAGCTACAGGAAGGAGATACTTTATCTCTACAGAACATGATCTAAAAAAATTCCCAAGAGATTCTGCCCTCAATGAATCGGAATAAAGTGTAGTTAGTACCCACTTCCAGGAGCAGCGTTATGAAGCCCTAATTGTTTTATCATTTTATTCTCTTTGTCAATCTGACAGCAGTAAATTTTCAAAGTTGCTCCAATGCTACTTACAGCTTATATTTTTTTTTTATTTATACTAAAGAGACTTAGTGATTTTAATGTGTACCTGCATGCCAGCACAGTGTGTAAGTATATTTAGGTACAGGTACACAAGTACGTATAATTATCAGAGTACATATAAAATATGCAATAACTTAAAAACACTTGAAATCTGGAAAGTTTCCAGACATAATAGATGTGCTCACAGAGAATGAACAAACAGGGTGGGGTGCACCGTATTTGAAAGACCGCTTGTTGTATAGCAAATTTTGGTCATAATTTGAGTGATCATGTCGGAGGATCTCACCTTCAAGGACCATAACATTGTATCAATCGCATCTGCTAGAAAAATGACAGGATGGATAATGAGAACCTTCAAAACTAGGGATGCCAAGCCCATGATGACACTCTTCAGGTCACTTGTTTTATCCAGGCTGGAATATTGCTGCACACTAACAGCACCTTTCAAGGCAGGTTAAATTGCTGACCTAGAAAATGTACAGAGAACCTTCACGGTGCGCATAACGGAGATAAAACACCTCAATTACTGGGAGCGCTCGAGGTTCCTAAACCTGTATTCCCTGGAACACAGGCGGGAGAGATACATGATTATATACACCTGGAAAATCCTAGAGGGACTAGTACCAAACTTGCACACGAAAATCACTCACTATGAAAGCAAAAGACTTGGCAGACGATGCAACATCCCCCCAATGAAAAGCAGGGGTGTCACTAGCACATTAAGAGACCATACAATAAGTGTCAGGGGCCCGAGACTGTTCAATTGCCTCTCAGCATACATAAGGGGGATTACCAACAGACCCCTGGCAGTCTTCAAGCTGGCACTGGACAAGCACCTAAAGTCGGTTCCTGACCAGCCGAGCTGTGGCTCGTACGTTGGTTTGCGTGCAGCCAGCATTAACAGCCTGGTTGATCAGGCTCTGACCCACCAGGAGGCCTGGTCCCAGACCAGGCCGCGGGGGCATTGACCCCCGGAACTCTCTCCAGGTAAACTCCAGGCATATTAGCGGAATGACAAAGCGAGGCCTACTATACAAGGAAAACTATTACAGACAATGAGAGATTCTATTTGTGGAAGGAAAATGCACGATCATTATGCGAGATCTATCCTAAATTGTTTATTTTAAAAGATGAAATCGTTTCTGAAATATCCACGTTAAAAGTTTGTGTAGCAAAATTAATTATTTTGAACATAGTGCATTAAAAGGCCATACCTGGATAACTTAATATTGTGAAGTTCCAAGTTGATCATGTCATAAATAGCTGGATACCCCAATTCATTCCTCTCCTGACCCATCTCAAATTTGTTGTTAATTGTGATTTGTCCTAAGTCAACCATGAGCCCAGACAAACTGCACGAGTCTTGAGGAATGAGGATCAGAGGGGCCTGTAGGGATTAGAATATTATCATGACCATGTGAACCACTTTAGAGGAAACACAATACATTGATATGAAGCCAAGTGACAAGATAAAATATACAATAGGGCCTCAACTTATGACAAAAGTGTGTTTCAGAAAATCCGTTCTAAAATAATTGTTTAGTACAGTAGGGCCCCACTTATATGGCAGGTTAGGTTCCAGGCTACTGCCGTAAAGCGGAAATCACCGTAAAGTGGAACACCCTTTTTTTTCCACTTATAAATGCATACAAATACTAGATAACAAGTTTACACTAACATATATTAAGTTAGCAATAGAACTAAGCATCAAAAAACAATAAAAAATTACACTACACACATAGTGCACTCATTAATTACCTTAAAATACTATTTATAGTCTTAATCTAGGGTGAGACTAGTAGTATTTATTGTAAGATATCAAGTGTGGTATGTATGGTAGTCAGCCAGGCTACCATACCAGGCCACCCCACCTACACATAATATTCTATTACATTTAAGCATCCCAGAGCGATAAAATGCATATACAGTTTACTCATTACTTGCCTTAAAATATTTGTAGTCTTAATCTAGGGTGAGATGAGTAGCATTTATTGTAAGAAATCAAGTGTGGTATGTATGGTAGCCAGCCAGACCAACCCACCCACAAACACTATTCTATGATATTTAACCCTTTGAGGGTTTTGGTCGTACTAGTACGTCTTACGCGTAGGGGTTTTTGACGTACTAGTACACATAAATTCTAGCGGCCTCAAATCTCGCAGGAAAAGGCTGATAAGCCTAGATGTGAGAGAATGGGTCTGTGTGGTGGGTGTGCGCAGTAGGAAAAAAATCTGGGACCCAGTGGTGCATTGTGGGAATGCCATCATAGTACACAATTTCCACCGTGCCCTGCGGTAAGAAGTTCCTCACTCCTCGCGAATTGGGACACTTTTGTTCCCCAGTGACAGTTCTAATACAGATGGAAGTGACAGTGAAGATGAGTTTCAAGGTTCTGGTGAGGTTTTGACCGAAACTAATGACCATAATATGGGTAATAGTGAGGAAAACCCAGACAACCCACAGCCTTCCACCTCTGGTGCTGGGCCGTCGTTCAGTTGTACCAGAATCAAAGAGGAAACTCCTATTTTCCAAAATCCCAGACTCAGATGTGAGCATTGGTGATGGTAATGATAGTGATTATGAACTACAAGCTCTTCAAACTTGTTCCAAGAATGGAGGAGGAGGAGGAGGCAAGAGGAGGAGGAGGCAAGAGGAGGAGGAGGCAAGAGGAGGAGGAGGCAAGAGGAGGAGGAGGAGGAGGAGGAGGAGGAGGAGGGAGGAGGAGGAGGAGGAGGAAAGAAGGAGGAGGAAAGGAGGAGGAGGAAGAGGAGGAGGAGGAGGAGGAGGAGGAAGAGGAGGAGGAGGAGGAAGAAGAAGAATACGTAATGATAACAATAATACAAAATTTAATAAATAATACATAATAATAATAATACATAATAATAATAATACATAATAATAATAATACATAATAATAATAATACATAATAATAATACATAATAATAATAATACATAATAATAATAGGTAATAATAATAATATGTAATAATAAATGTTCACCCATGACAGTAACAAGATAAGGGGAGATAACATCTGATAAGTACTGACGTTTGATGAGGGTAAATGAGGGTAGAGCTGATGCCAAAAGATGAGATGAACATCGCCCTCCCTTTGTTTTTGCTGGTATACTAACATTTCTGTCTGTCTATTTGCCTGTCTGTCAAGCTCCCTGTCTATCCGTCTAGCTCTCTGTCTCAGAGAGCCACAAGACTGCGTCATCACTTTTACTCACATCTTCAAGCAGAGTATAGCACTTTGTCTGGGTTTCTTGGGTTATCCTAGGTAATTTATAGTATGTATACTTGTATTTATGTGTACCTGTGAGACAGAGATAGACAGACAGATAGAATGAGGGAGAAAGATAATTAGATAGAATGGAGGAGGGGAAGCAGCATCCGACCCCATTGTTTTGACAGGCCGGAGGGGAAAGAGTAATGAGCCAATATGTCATTTTTGACAGCTGCCGACTCCTTGTAATTTACACTATGGACGAGGAGAAGGAGAAGGAGGAAGAGTAGGGGGAAGAGGAAGAAGAGGAGGAGGAGGAAGAGGAGGAGGAGGAAGAGGAAGAGTAGGAGGAAGAGGAAGAGTAGGAGGAAGAGGAATAAGAGGAAAGAGGAGGAGGAAGAGGAATAGTAGGAGGAAGATTAGGGGGAAGAGGGGGAAGAGGAAGAAGAGGAGGAGGAGGAAGAGTAGGGGGAAAGAGGAAGAGGAGGAGGAGGAAGAGGAAGAGGAGGAGGAGGAGGAGGAAGAGGAGGAGGAGGAGAGGAAGAGGAGGGAAGAGGAGAGAAGAGCAGGAGGAAGAGGAAGAGGAGGAAGAGGAAGAGTATGAGGAAGAGTAGGGGGAAGAGGAGGAAGAGTAGGGGAAGAGGAGGAAGAGGAAGAAGAGGAGGAGGAGGGTGGAACACTAGTACACTGGTACTGGTACACTAACATTTCTGTCTGTCTATTTGTCTGTCTGTCAAGCTCCCTGTCTATCTGTCTATCCATCTAGCTCTCTGTCTCAGAGAGCCACAAGACTGTGTCATCACTTTTACTCACATCTTCAAGCAGAGTATAGCACTTTGTCTGGATTTCTTGGGTTATCCTAGGTAATTTATACTATGTATACTTGTATTTATGTGTACCTGTGAGACAGAGATAGACAGACAGATAGAAAGAGAGAGACAGATTGAAAGAGATAGAATGAGGGGGAAAGATAAAACACCATTGTGTATGACACCATGTTTCAGAGTTCCACAAGCTGCAGAACTAATAGGAATATGTTCAGTGACTGTATATTGGTATATATATTATAGAACAATAATAATAAACAATGTTTTGTATTGTTTGTTTTTGTAAACAAGTTTTGTAAACAATATATTGATAATTAGTTTGTGTGCTTATTGTGTTGTATACAAAGAGTGTATATATGTACATTGCACCTTACTTTGGTCTCATAGGCCACATAAGTTATGTGAAAAAATAAAATAGTGAAAAAAACAACAAACCTTCAAATACAAGTAAATCAAAGTTTACCGGGTGAGCGGCAGTCGCCGCTGTTGCCATACGCGGCTCATTTTCTGCAAACTTCATGCATCCATATCTCCGTAAGTATTGATGGTAAATTTTTTTTGTTTATCCTATAATGTTTAGAAAAAAAACTATTTTTTCATAAGAAAAAATAATTTTTTTTTTTTGAAATTTGGCCGACCCTGAGAACGAGTTTCGGAGAGGGCCTGTCGACCCTCAAAGGGTTAAGCATCCCAGAGTGATAAAATGCATATATGGTTCACTCATTACTTATCTTAAAATATTTGTAGTCTTAATGTAGGGTCAGGGGTGAGTAAACGAGATAAAACGAATAAATGAGAGAGAGAATGAGTACTTCAGAGAGGACAGACGCAGAGTTATGTAAGCAAACCAGGCGAATGTAAGTTCTGTAAACAAAGTGTACACGTCTGGTTTGTGTACAAGTTACATTGTGTACAAGTTGTCTCTACATTGATATGGTAGAATAAATAAAGAAGAAACACTCCCATTCTCATGTAACACCATTTTTAGAAGAAATGAAGCTCTGAGTGAAGGCAATGGAAATTAGTCACTCTGACTTTTTTGGGCTATCCTAGGTTCTCTACACATATGCTGTTATGTATGATAATCTATGTAACTGTATTTGTGTATACCTGAATAACTTACATACAAAAGAAATAATTTTCTACAGATACCCCCTGTAAGACATTTTCTCTTATGTTAGATTTGAGAAAATGTTATTCTTGCCGTCACTTGTACAAGATATCTGGCTACCACATCTCATATTTATGTTTATTTATTCTATTGTGGGGTGTATTTATCATCTTTATATGTTATGTATCGTGTTTATTATATAATTTTGAACAAAATATCATGGATGGATTAATGAAAATGTGTATATTAACATAATATACGACATTTAATGAGACTCAGTGATTATTATTATTATTTCAAATATGGCGTCATTTGTGCAAGTCGTCTGGCTACCACATCTTATATTTATGTTTGTTTATTCTACTGTGGGGTGTATTTATCATCTTTATGTTATGCATCATGTTTATTACATAATTTTGAAAAAAATATCATAGATGGATTAATGAAAATGTGTATATTAACGTAAAATACGACATTTAATGAGACTCGGTGATTATTATTACTAATATGACATCTCGAGATATAAGACACTCTTACTGATTTTAATGTGTACCTGCACGCAGCACAGTATGCAAGTTTATTTAGGTACAGGTATACATATGTATAATTATCAGAGTATATATAAAATATGAAATAACTTTTAAAAACACTTGAAATTTTGGAGTTTCCAGACATAATGGAGAGACTTAGTGCTTACGGATCTCACGGAGAATGTAAACAAACCGGGTGGGGCGCAGTGACCGTATTAGAAAGTTAGGTGGGGGAGCCGTACAGCGAGTTTTGGTCATAATTTGAAATGACTGTATTAGCGGAACGCCGTAAAGCGGGGCCCTACTGTACTTGAAACCTTCTTTCACGTAAGAAACTGTAAGAATAGATTAATGTATTCCTCAGTCATAATATTCAGTATGCAGTACTAATTTTTCTAAAGAATTTTTATCTGATATTTCACAGTCAGTATTCTTTTTCACTCGAAAACAACACATGGTAGTAGTGGTGCAAGGTACAAGGTGGTGGTGGTGCGAGGTACAACATAGTGGTGGTGGCGCCAGGTACAAGGTGGTGTGAGGTAAAAGGTGGTGGTGGTGTGAGGTACAAGGTGGTGGTGGTGGTGATGGTCTAAGGTACAAGGTGGTGGTGGTGGTGGTGATGGTCTAAGGTACAAGGTGATGGTGGTGGTGGGGAGGTACAAGATTTGGGGGTGGTGGCGCGGACACAAGG